CATCACCGAGCCTAGCTGTCATGATTATTTTAAGCTCTGGCTTTATCAGCTGTAAGAAACATTTTATTGCTGTACAAATTGTTGTTGCCTCTGGCTTTCCAGACATGTCATGGTGCCACTGCAATCCTTGAACCCACAGGAGGTTCAGGAAGGCTGGAGGTGTAAAGAACACTCCACAAAACCAGGGGACATAGGCACGGGGTTCCCAGTTCCCTATCCTCACCACAGACTGACCCTCCACTTCCTTTTCTTCCCAGAATCACTGTTTAAGTAAGTTTCTATTATTGGCATGTGTCATTTTAGAGTTAATGATACCTCGGTATGGTGGCATGCCTGTAGTTCCAGCTACTGGGGAGGCTGAGGCAGGAGGATCACTGAAATTCAAGATCACAAGATGGGCCTGGGAAACATAGTGAGATTCCCCAACTCAGAAACAAAAACAGAAAAAGAATTAATGACAGAGTACCGACAGAAAGGGAGGTGCTGGGTTATTAGCCTTGTGTTATCATTCTGACTCATAGAAGCTTGGAAGGCTCCAAAACTCCACATTATTTCCACAGTCTGTGGCTGGCTAGTCTCTTCCCAGGGTCTATTATTGAGGGACCATCTGTGTTGCCCTATCAGGCTCCTTACCCTCTGTTTGCTCACCTCCTCACCCTCTTCTCTGGAGAGATGGAAGGGTGTATCAAAGCGAGAGAAAGCGTCAGTGCCTATTTCTTCCCCTGCTCTCTAGGTTGGTATTGTTTCGGCACCTTAGATACACCCATTTTAATTAATTATGAAGTATATGTTTCGCAAGATAGTTCTGTCTCATGCAGGCGGCCCTCTCTTTTTTTAAGGAAAAATTGTGAAATTAACATGGTGATCAGGACGCCAGGGGAGAGAGGCAACCTTGCAGCATTGTATGCATACTCAGTTGCATTTAAGAAAAAACATTAATAAAAGGAAGACTTTAAATTCATTTCCAAAGTGCCATGAACACTCACCTGGGCCACTGCCACTTGCACTGGCCTCTTTGTAAGCTATAAATCACTAGGTGGATCTGCTTCATAGGAGAATTGGGCCGCATCCTGGAGATTCTCCATTGAATAACCAACAGAAATGCTTACTGAGAAGGAAGATAGACCTCCCCCAGAATCTGAGTCTTTCCAGGAGCATTCACTATTAAAATGGTGTCAGAGCCCTGCCTAGGTCCTAAACCAAACAGGAGGATTTTACAAGAGTTGTTTAAGGTAAACTTATTTGGCTACAGTGTATCTTAGAGGTAGAGGCAAGAGCCAGGGAGAGAGAAAGTTAAGTCAGGGACAAGGACACACATTTGTACTGCTTAATGACAGTTGCAGGGCAGGATGCCCCTGTGTTGAAAAACAGTTTTCACAAAACAACATCCACAGATTAGAATCTCAAGGCCCAGGCAGCCCCACAATTTGATTCAGCAACTGTTCAGAGTTTCTACTGTCAGAGGTTCTTTTATGAAATGCAAGACCATCTACATCCAGGAGGCTTCTTAAAACATAAACTCCTGGGCCCTACTCCAGGTCTACTGAAATAGAATCTCCCAGGGGTCAGTCGGTCTGTCTGTCTCTCTCTCTCCCTCCCTCTCTCTCTCCTCTCTATTTTTTAATTTTGAATTGGGGGTTGAACCCAGGGTCACTTTACCACTGAACTATATCCCCAGACTTTTTATTTTTTGAGACAGGGCCTACACTAAATTGCTGAGGCTGGCCTTGAACTTACTATCCTCCTGCCTCAGCCTTCCAAGTCACTGGGATTATAGGCATGGGTCACCATGCCAGACTTGAACTTTTGACTTGTAAGCAGGTTTTTATGGGTGATTCTTAAGCACACTGAAATTTAAAACCACCAGTCCTTTGTATTTTTACTCACTGATGGATCTGAGAGCCTAGAACAGCCATCCACACAGCTCAATAAATACCTGTTGAATGAACGAAGGCCCTCAGGGTTTGTGGCACTCAGAGGCTCTAATTACGAATCTCTTCCGGACCATCTAATTCAAAATGCTATCATAAAACAACCATAATGTCATATCCTCCAAAATACCTTCTTAGCTGGGTTGTGGGGGAAGGGGGAGCTCTCCTATCTCTTCTGAACAGTCTTAGCAAATTGTCTTCACCTTAACAGGCCCCTCCTTGCTTGCACTGAACCACAAAAGCAGTGTCATAGAAAGCAGCAAACCAGCCTCATAGCTCTGCCACCTTTAAAGAAAGGAAAAAAGAAAAAAAAAAGGGGGGGGGGAGGAAGGTACTAATCAAACTAATTAAGACAAATAGGAATTTAGATTCATCATGTCTCGGTCATCTATTGATAACTGAATAACTGAAGCTAGGCAAACTTCTATAAATCATCCTCTTTTGTTTGTAGATTGCATAGCCAAAGGATCAAATTTCTTCTATAATCATTCAAACCACAGGAAAGAGAAGGCAAGGAAAATACAATCCTGCTATTTTATATCCATATATACTGTGCTAAGACTATATTTAATGATGTATTATATTAAGAACTTTCTGTATCCTTCAACAGGTGAAAAGATAAAGAAATGGTGGCACATCTACCCAAGGGAATACTACACAGCAATATAAATGAAAAACTATTGACACATATTACATCAATGCATATGCACTTATGCACTATTGCAAATGCATTATGTAAATTAAAAGCCAACCTCAAGAAGTTACAAATATGTAACAAATATTTATAACATTCAGGAAAATTAAAAACTATAGGGTGGGAGAATAATTCCTTAGTTGCCTGATCAAAGTTAGAAGGTGGGAGATGAATTTAACTACAAAGGGATAGCACAAAGGAATTGGGGGGAATGATGCAATGATTCTGTTTCCTGATAAAATGGGAGTTACATTCTCAATGTGTTAAAATACCTAGAACTATCCACCAACGTAAGTAAATTTACTGCATGTAAATTGTTTTTAGAAAGTACATGTATGAAGACATGAATTGATGTGAACGTACTTTGTATACAACCAGAGATATGAAAAATTGTGCTGTATGTGTAATAAGAATTGTAATGCATTCTGCTGTCATTTATTTTTTAAAAATCAATTAAAAATTTTTAAAAAAAGTAAAAGAAAGAACTCACTGCTGGGTGCATTGGCACATGCATATAATTCCAGAGTGTCAGGAGATAGAGGCAGGAGATTGCAAGTTTGAGGCCAGCCTCAGCAATCTAGTCAGGCCCTAAACTACTAAGTAGCAGAGTACTCCTAGGTTCAATCTCTAGTACTGCAAAACATAAATAAAAAAAAAATAAGCACCCACTGAATCCACAATATAAGCTCATTCAGGCTCTGGGGGCCCCTGAGTCACTTTCTCTTCTTTAATCAATGTGAGAAACACAAGACAAAGTGGTTTGGAGTGTGTGTGTGTGTGTGTGTGTGTGTGAAAGAGAGGGGTGCTGCATCTCAGGGTCTAAGCTAAGTGCTAAGTACGATTTAACTGGGACCAAATGCAGCATGTAATAAACTGGAAAACATTTTGTAGAAAACTCCTTTATTATAGTGCAAATAACTTTCAGCAGTGACATAATGTAACAATACATATAGCAACATTTTACACCACGCAGTAAATAAGAAAGTGTTTCTTTGAAAATATGTCATCATAGGAACATTTTTCCTACCTTAATGCTGGAAAATGCCAAGGCTGCTTCTCTCAAGGCAACAGGGCTCATGCCCTCTTTTTGGATATTTTCTTTTAAAGACAAATGGAAAGACTTGCCATTTAGCAAATAAATCATCAATCCTAAGAGTGATCTCTTAGGAGGGTCTGAACTGAGGCTGGTAAGATTTGAAATGGGGTTTCAAAATTTATAAAAATAATTTAAAAACAATTCTGGGACCACCCAGAGAGCAGAAATCACTTCCATTAGGTTTTAAGTAGATATACACATTCACTCTAATTTTGCTGCAGAAACAGATTGTCTAAAGCCTGCCTTTTATTTCCCCAGAGCCTGATTGTTATTCCTTGGTTTGGGTTATTGCAAAACTAGGGCTCTGGTCAGAAATAACTCCTTACATACGCAAATACTTTCCTGTGAAGCTTTAAATTGCACTTTCAATCCTGAAATTCCCACCTTAGACCTCACAGGCCGAGGAGAGGGTGTGAACATGTTCCAGTTTCCAGCTAACCATTAGGACGGAGGGATTAGCCCTGTACTCATTTAGCTATACCTAAATCAAATCATCACATCACTGAGATTAATCCCAGTAGACTTACCCAAGAGGTTCCCACTGACCTCATAGGGAAAGGAAGGGTTAACAGCATTTTCACACTAAGCTGCCTAAGGGCTTGGTTGCTAATGAGTTAGCTGATAGGCAGAGAGAACACAGCCACTTCTAATCAGTTATACACCCTGCTCCTCTGGTTTCTGCTGAATTATGCAGTGGGTAGGAAAAGTTGACCACTCAAAAAAGCATCCTCCCCTGGGATTGTCCAGCGTAAGTTGGATCAAAATCCCTACAAAAATATTTCAGGGTGCCCTCTAAGTCTCTCTATAGATACTCCTTAAAAGTGGCTTTATTAGCCATGAGAAGTTAATCAAAGGCTTGAAAATACCTGGAGCCACCGAACAGCTCTCCTGGCTGAATATGGCTAAGTCAGCTGGTACATAAAGCTTTTTAATGTGCAGCCAGTGTTGTTGGATAAAATATCTTCTATAACACCATAGAACTGTGCTAAACAGTTTCAAAGTTGAGAAGAATCCAAATATATCACTTATAAAAATTCACGATTTTAGTTTGCTTTGTTTATCTTAGACTTTGGTACTGAAACACTGTCTACCTTTTCGGCACGTGAAAAATGACATAGCCACTTCCGTGCCTCTGCATGTCGTGTAAAAAAAAAAAAAAAAACTCAAAAGCCAAGCAGGACAAGGACGAGTCATAACAAGACACAGTATGCTGTATAAACAAAACCTAAATTATATATAAATACACCCCCGCCCCAGCACCCCTTTCTTCCCCCACTACCTGGCCAAAGCAATGCCAAGGGTCCTTCTCTCCAGAGCCAATGCACCTTGTGAAGTCCAGCATCCAACCATCCCTGGCCCTGTGGTGGCATTTTCAGTCTGCAGCCTCCTGCTGGAGCTGCTCCCTGGCTTGATCAGTTTTGCAAGCGCAGGGCAACTCCTAAGCCTTCACTGGAAGCACTCACAGTATTGGCTGGACTCAAAGACCTGGAGTCCTGGGAGTTAACCTTTCAGATAAACTAACTGGATCCTTTCCTAATCTGGATTCCATCTTATCCTACTATCTCCTCCAAGTCACTAGCTCCTCCCAGCCACAGAGCCAACACAGTAGGAAGCATCTTCTACTCTGAAGCTCCAAAGGCATTGCTTTGGGATACTGGTGAGGGTCATATAAGAAAAGTTATATAATGAGCTAACAGCTTAAGTTGACATAAATGATTTCCAAGTAGGTCATTCAGGGCCATTTGTCTGCTTTACACTACATTCCAAAATCATTTTCATATACTTTTAAAAGTTTATGTAATAATCATTCAAAAATTATCTATGCAATCCCCCTCTCTTGTATCTTCAATGAATTTAATAACAACTTAATGAGCTATTATGTAAAGCTAGGGAGAAGTATTTAATTAGTCTTAAGGAAGCCAATAGTGTGCTAATTCAGTTAGGAGAAAAAGAGTTAGGAGAAAAAAGCAATATAAATAGAATTTTACATAATCGACAACATGAATAGCAATTTTATCGAAATGTTGCAAATTTTTTTCCCAAAAGCACTTATGACAATTTATATTAAGAGATCCTATGTTCAGGAGTATGGAGGATACAACCCAACTCTTTAAGATATAAATTCACCTGTTTTATGATTGTAATACGTAGTTTCCCCTCTCAGACCCAAGATATTTGTACATTCAAAAGTTCATAATTCGCTGTTCTTGAGACATTGCTCATTCCCTAGTACATACACTGAATATAAATAAATAACTACAAGAAAGCTTCAAAAATCTGAACTGACATTATGCTGTGCAAAAAAAGGAAGAAAGAAAAAATAATAAATCTTGAGCAACCTACATTCTATGTAAATACCCTGACTAAAATGTTGGTTGTGCTACACAATTCTACTTCAGTGCAGAAAAGTGTTGATTTCGGTGTACCGTTGTTGTTTTTGATGTCTTTAGCACTTTGTTTCTAAACATCACCTTGCTTTGAAGTGACAAATAATTTGCTATCCAATCACAAATCATCACAAATCCATTTTAGTTTTGTCTGAATAAATCCAGCATATGTATTACTTCGTTTTGGGAATAATGGCTCGGTGTCTTTGTCCGACAGCTTTCTTCCTATGGGCAAACCATAGTTGAAGTTGTCATTTTGGGCTTAAACTGCACAGAAAGAAGAGACAGTGAAGCTTGCCTTTTGTTTTCTTTGTAAGTCTCCAGATCTTGCTGGGACATTTATTCCAGACTGACAGTCATATGGTTGTGGCACCTGATCCTATTTGAAATAGAAGTGGTTTAAATGCTGTCAGCCAAGTTTGGTGATCTGGAGGTCCCCATTTATCTTTATGGTGTCAATCGCAGATAACGTTTGAATGCGATGGTAAAAATCAAAGAGTTGATGTCCATCCACAAACACTCTGAAACGTGGGTGCTCACAAAGAATTTCCACCTGGAAGAAACAAAGTAATAATCTGAATTCACAATTTCAACAAAGCCTGCAAGGGAAGACAAACAAACATAACTTTATTTTGGAGAAAAAAAAGGCAACATCTTCAGTGATTCTCAAATATCAGAATGCACTGGAAGGAACCATAGAGGGGGTTAGTTAGAACAAATTGCAGGCCTTCACTCTCCAAATTCCCAATTCAGAAGGACTAGGGTGAGGCCTAAAAATTGACATTTCTACCAAGTTCCAAGGTAACAGTGATAAGGCTGAAACAGGGAATATACTTTGAGAACCACTACACTTCACTATTCAATATCCTTTAAAGATTTTAAATTGCTCAGGCTTCAACATTTGTCTCTGCACCCCAGAAGTTGGTAACTAGCATAGATTAAGTTACATGGCATTTAATGTCTCCATTACTATCCCCCAAACCCACTTTTAGAGGAGCCCCTCATAAGGCCAAACTGGTACCCATTTAGTAGCATGTAATAATAGTCTAGACACTCAAACATGGTAACACTAAAGCAGAGAGAAGGTTATATAGTAATTACCTACAATGTGTAATTAACAAAGCTTTGTAAGCCAAACAGAAATACAAATTCCACATGGTAAAAGCTTTGTCTTCTCCTTTTTCTTAACATAAGTAATTCGCCATAAGTTTAATTATTGGTTCTGTGCTATGATGTATTTATTAAAAGCTCTGGTATTCACCATGCAAGGGAAGACTCCATATGTGATATTAGTCACATTTAATTCATATTATTATTAAACTTGTATTACCAAGAAGGGCCTATTTCACTTTAATTTTGTTGTTGGGGAGCATTATATCCCTACTAGAAGTTTTGGTTGATCATACTCATGAGTGTGAAGATTCATCATTAGGAAACTTATAATGATCAAGAGGAGCCTAAGAGGACATAACCATCCTACAGAAGAGGGTGGAGTGCCTTCCCCAGTCTAGGATTAGAAAGGCAATGATTTTAATTCTATCACAGATATGAAAGTCCTGGCTTCTTATTTCTCACCCAGACTATAAAGCCTTTGAAAGTTTTTAGATGAAGAGCAACATCTTGAAGGTTGATCAGGCAAATGGGAGTTTTTAATGAAGCTGCCATTATTGGGATGTGTGTGAACGAGATCTGATGAAGGAACTTCATCACTGCACGAAGTCCTTTTCTCCACATTACTGACATGCATCTCTTATTTGGCATTATCCTTTCTAGAGGAAGGTGCTGCTAATGCTGCTTGATTAGGTGGCAAGTTTGGGTTGTGTTTCCTGCCCAGTAGATAGTGGGGAGCAAATCTATATTCTTCCAGGCCCAAGGGAAGAAATCTGTCAGCCACATAGCCTGTGACCATGAAATAGACAGAGGCTTGATTAATTCAGAGGGGGAAACAAGGACACGGACATGGCCTCATTAGCAAAGGAAACAAGAGAACATAAAATGATAACCACCAAATTCTTTAAAATGTCTTAATGAATAAGGTTTCAAACTACTTAAAGGCTAAGGGAAAAAATGAGGAAAATTCTGGATACTTATTAATATGTATTAATCAGATATTTGGGGACAGGAATTTATTATATGCCTAACACTATGTTGTGTACTATATACAAAAGTATTTGCTAAATTAATACTTACCATAGTAGCTAAGTGTAGTAGTAGGTTTTTTTCCTTAATAATCTGAGTATGTAAACATGGGTGTAATAACTAAATATATGGGCTGAACAGAGAGATCCAAGTGCTACTCTGGGAGCATTAATTTCTATCAGCAAACAGAGCTCTTTTGATT